GTTCCTTTGGTGGTCACCTTTGAAAATTGTTCAAAGAATTTAATTCCATGCAGAACTCTGGTTGCCATGGCAACCGAAAGAAAAATGTCCGAAAGAAAATATCTTCTTTTAAACAACCCTAAGAGCTAGAGCTTAGATATTTGGCATGAAACATCTTCTAATGAGTGTCAACCAAGTTTGTTCAAATAAAAGCCCTGGGGTCAAAATTGGCCCCGTTCAAGGGCGTCATTGATTTTCCCTATATGAAAATAGTAAAAACTTAAAAAATCTTCTTTTAAAGAAACCAAAGAGCTAGAGCTAAGATATTTGGCATGAAACATCTTCTAGTGAGTGTCTACCAAGTTTGTTCAAATAAAAGCCCTGGGGTCAAAATTGGCCCTGCCCCGGGGGGTCATAGATTTTCCATATTTGCATATAGTAAAAACTTAAAAAATCTTCTTTTAAAGAACCCAAAGAGCTAGAGCTAAGATATTTGGCATGAAACATCTTCTAGTGAGTGTTTACCAATTTTGTTCAAATAAAAGCCCTGGGGTCAAAATTGGCCCTGCCCCGGGGGGTCATTGATTTTCCCTATATGCATATGGTAAAAACTTAAAAAATCTTCTTTTAAAGAACTGTAAGAACTAGAGCTTAGATATTTGGCATGAAACATCTTCTAGTGAATGTCTACCAAGTTTATTCAATAAAAGCCCTGGGGTCAAAATTGGCCCCGCCCCAGGGGGTCATTGATTTTCCCAATATGCATATAGTAAAAACTTAAAAAATCTTTTTTTAAAGAACCCAAAGAGCTAGAGCTAAGATATTTAGCATGAAACATCTTCTAATGAGTGTCTACCAAGTTTGTTCAAATAAAAGCCCTGGGGTCAAAATTGGCCCTGCCCCAGGGGGTCATAGATTTTCCCTATATGCATATAGTAAAAACTTAAAAATTCTTCTTTTAAAGAACCAAAAGAGCTAGAGCTAAGATATTTGGCATGAAACATCTTCTAGTGAGTGTCTACCAAGTTTGTTCAAATAAAAGCCCTTGGGTCAAAATTGGCCCTGCCCCAGGGGGTCATTGATTTTCCCTATATGCATATAGTAAAAACTTAAAAAATCTTCTTTTAAAGAACCGTAAAAGCAAGAGCTTAGATATTTGGCATGAAACATCTTCTAGTGAATGTCTACCAAGTTTGTTCAAATAAAAGCCCTGGGGTCAAAATTGGCCCCGCCCAAGGGGGTCATTGATTTTCCCTATATGCATATAGTAAAAACTTTAAAAAATCTTCTTTTAAAGAACCCAAAGAGCTAGAGCTAAGATATTTAGCATGAAACATCTTCTAATGAATATACAGGTGAGCGACCTCAGGGCCATCATGGCCCTCTTGTTTTATCTAATGTACAATTAGTAACAATCGCTATTCCATCTACCGGCTTTCATTAAAGCTTTTGCAGGAACGCCAATATTGGCGAGATCAGTAGCTCTGCCAATTCTAAAACTGAGTAGTGTAACAACATCCAAATGACAAGCGGGCTTTTAAAATGCATTTTGACAAAACTGCTGAAAATTGAGTTCTCGTAACTGGTGAACTATCATCATGAATGAACATGGGCCCCTGTGTTTGCATATATAGAAAGAAAGTTAGATAAGGCATTTACTGGACATAAATGGTCCTCTTCTTTAGGCAATTTTAGATATACTGGAATACCGGTTTTATTTGTTTTTGAATGACGAAGACAAATAAGCACCTTGCTATTATCTATTATTGATATGTCCGAATTCCATAGTATGTCCCGACTTTTCAGTACTTTTGGAACGACCAGCTCACTAATGGGAAATAACCAAAGTATGCAAATATAAATAATGTGGTAAATAATCTAGTCTTGTAAGCATTGTAGCATCATAATGGTTATATGTCACATAAAACTTTCAAAACCTGTTTTGTTATCGGAGCCCGATTATCATGTGATTTGCGAGATTTTTTGAAACCTTTGAGCAGTTTGCTAACCATGAATATTTTTGATATATCATAAAATCCAGAAAGTTTATGAAAATAATTCAAGCCGGCAACATATGTGGTTATAGTTTTTGAAGCCAAGCCCCTCTCAAAACAATACAAAATAAAAAAGACAATATTTTGAATTGAAATTGCTATTGTAACAACAGATTATATTCGGATAGAAATATCCGAAAAGCGTTCAACGCTGGATCGTATGTTGATCTAGTATTTGGCCCTAATCCACTTTGCAACAATGTTTGAGCTCTAAATCGAAGAGGCTCCAAAGGAATTCTGGGACTGGGTGAGGTAGCTGATCTGCTTCCGGAGCTAATTCTCTGAATTTTTTCAACTGAAAACGTGACAATGCATCACAAATTACATTATAACGACCTGGGACATGAATTGCTTTCAATAAAATATTAAGTTTCATACAATGCAATACAAGAAGTCTTACAAGGCACATAACTGTTTCAGACTTAGACGAAGTCTTACTCAAAATGTTCTACAACTGCCATATTATCGCAGTTAAATCTTATTTTCTTATTTATCAATTTAGAACCAAAAATAAATATTGCCACAATAATTGGGAATAACTCCAAAACAGAGATATCGGCCGTAAGACTGCGTGAGTGCCAATCGTCTGGCCATTTCCTTTGGCACCAATGACCTTGAAAGCAAATTCCGAAACCACAATTGTTCTTTAATTATATCAGTCCTTAATAAAGATGACCATAAATTTTTTGACTCACATTCAACACGTGGCCCTGTGTATTGAATTGGAAAGCCATTGATAAAACTGTCTAATAAGAATTTTGCTTCTTTCTCAATACATGTATATCCTTTTAAATAGAACTTTAAGGCCTCGACATTTACAGGAGATTTTGCTAAAGCGAATGAGTTCACATTAGTGTCAGAAAATGCAATTACCAGACTTTTATTTATTTTACTTTTTGAAATAGCCCCGTCCACTTTTAGCCCGTTGGCTGAAAATGTCTGCCCTGAAAGTTTTGAAATGACGACTGAGATTGACCGTTGATCATGCTTTGTTTCTTTGAAGAATTTGAAGTTTGACAGTTGATTGCTGGGTGGGGAGCAAAACACGTGGCACAAACATGGGAAAAACGGCAATTCGGCCAAGAACATTTTCCCGCATTAAAGTCATTACACGTAAACCTATAAGGATTAGATTGGTCACGTAAAACTGGTCTGACTTGTACACAGCGCCACCATAACTCATTGTTTATTTTTGACCATGATTGAGGAGCAATAGCCTATCTTAGACGAAATTGCTTGTCGTAAGTCCTCCATGAAAGACCACCCTGGCGCGAGGCACAATCTCTGATATTAAACATATAATGCAAAATTTCATAGATTTTGTCAGCGTGTGATGATAAATAAATGATACGCATATATAATAAATGCCTTTGTCCATTTCTCATTGCAATTGATCTGCTCTTTACATCCTTTTTGAGCGGATTCTATGTGACCTTCACTATCTAACTTAAACACCGTCCCTTTACAAAATTCTGAAAGCTCGACTGCCCCTTTCAATAATAACATCTAATTTACATATTCACCTCTACAAATTTTTTGTTTAAGAGATGTTGGCATGTGCGCCGCTAAATCATTATCAGCTCAACGTATTCCAGGCAAAACATTTATGATATCGTTTGAATGTTCGCAGTAGAACTATCTTAAGACCCACAGATTGTAACATATTGCTCAAAATCTACTACGTTTGACTCACCAGCATTCGTTTGCGACACCCTCTCGTCAACCAAATCTTCCAACGGGACCTTTGCCGTTCGTTTCCTCCCTCTGTTGCAAGGTTGTTTATCCTTGTTGCGCTCCTCGCTGGCTTTGGCTGCCTGGCGGTGTTGTTCCGCAACATTCTTTGTGAACGTACACATCCGCGGCCACGTAGCATAACTTGACAGTGTACGATAGCAGATAAATTCTTTTTAACCAGTCTGACGTGTAAAGAGTGAGTTTCTGCATGGGTTTTGCCATATAAATATTCCATACCGGGTACACTTTATGCTCAACTAAGAAAACTATCGAGTGTAACCAGATAAATTGTTTATGCAGACGATTTATTAAGATGACGGGGCACTGTATAGCAGACAACTAATATTTACAGCAGACGATGTTTTCTAAATAAAATTATTTTCATATTACATAATTTATATTAGATCTATATTGACCTTATAATCTGAAACCAAATTTATTGATTTGAATTATATAAATTATTTATTGTTTGAATTATATTAATTTTAACCATTAAAAAATAAACAGAAAACATTTATTCATATTGGTATTATTTGCTATTGTACTAATGTAACAAACAATAACACCTTCCTCTTTAGCGAGTAAAATTATTTTGTTCAAAGTATGCACACTGTAGATAACATGTATTATATAATTTTATTTAATCTGTTAATAATGGATACGGAACTTTTAACTTAAAATGTGTATCAGTTAAAGATAGGTTAAAGTTATGTATACTTTATCAGAGTACAATCATCATAATGACATAATGAAAATCTATGTGGTAATGGCACAACAAATGTTCGTGGATTTGTTACATGCAACATTTTGAGGATATAAAACTTGTGGAAATGTATCCACCACGAAAAGCACTTAAAAAGCGCGAAATAATTTCTATGAATACAGTTGTCAATTTCGTTCATTTATAACAAAGTTATGGTCATTTTAGCAAAATTCAATAATTTTACCTTGAAAATGATTATTGATTAAATGATTTTGACAAAATACATGTATATTTTGGCCTTTATAATTTAAACTTTAGTATAATATAAGTTATAAAGTTTTTGATAGGTTATATAACCCTTTATAAAAAGTTGTTTGGAAATATCACCTAAGCGGTTAGCCAAGGGTTATATTCCGAACAATCATTTATATACAGTTTAGCTTGAAAAAAACCCACATTTGTGGAGTTTAGGATTACAACTTTTACATGTTTCTTGTAATAAAGGTTTCAACATCTTTTATTTGTTGCAGCTGGAAGTATAGATTGTCCAACACAGTGGCTATTACTAATTGGATGTGGTACTTCAATGAAAGACTTGAAAAATGCTGTTCTGGATATGGTGAATCATTGTGAAAAAATGTTAATCACAAGTGTTCACGTTTATTGTTCAAATGGTAAAACTGTATGAATTATATTTGAACTGTATTAGTACCTTCCTTTACTTTTGTTGTCTCTATCTTTTGAAATGCGTAATGAATGTTCACAATACTTGAATGGGTGATATATTTAAAGGGAGACACAGGCAAAATTTCCTTTCTTCGATTTGAATTTCTATTTCAATATTCTATAAATATCCTCAAAATGAATACACTAAGTAGTCACAGAAACAAAACTTTTCTCCTTTTAAAGAATAAAATGGTGGTTTTCCAAACTTGACCCATGTGGGTCAGGTTAGAGCATTTACATTTCACAATAGTTGTTACAGAGAACAATTCACGCGTTAAAGTACCTATCAGATGAATGACTAAGACTTATTTCAATTTAACAGAATGCACAATATCCCGTTTTTGTAATTTCCAGAGCTTTTTCTAGTTACATGACTTGTTTTAAAACTACTTGATGACTCTGTTAGTGATTAATTTCATTCAAAGAAATAACTATGCTTCAAGGCCAAATTGTAAAGAATTTATAAAGAAATTCATGCTAGAATTTTTTAAAATGTCATTTTAGCATAATTTGAGTAAATAAGATCAATTATATACATGCATATTTTTCATTCATTTGCCTAAGTATCCCTTTAAATTTTGGACACAAAATGCAGAATGGAATGCCCTTTGTTGGTAGTTCATCTTTTAGTAATTTTATGTTCAATCTCTTCTTGATGGATATTAGAAATATTTGGTTAAGATATCTACTTGATTGAGATGATTTGAAGAGCCTATATTAATTTTTAGGTTTCTAACTGTATGGTCAATCTGTATTCATGCTTAGATATTTTTAGAATTTATTTATGTGTATTTGAATTATGTTTGTAGAAATACCATTATCCTTTGGGGATCAGTCAGTGGCTATTATTGACGAAGTTTTCAAAAACATTACAGCAGACAAATATCCAGACCGCATCTACAATTATTTATCAAATGTAACTATTGTGGTCGATGATGAAGATGGTTTCTCCAATATAGAAACAAGACTTTCACAAAAAAGTTTTTTTACATCCATTTTTGGAGGTAATTTTTATATTATCCTTAAATGACAAAATTTATTATTCAGGTACCAGTGACAGCTAAAAGAGATCAGAGGAAAGAATTTTTTTCCAGCTTTGATGATTTGCATGACACATTAGTTAACCTGTAACAAGATTTTCAAGTTATAGCCCAATGGCTCAAATTGACCTCACTACTGGTATAAGAGATAGAGCACTTAAAAAACTTTTTTGAGAACTGCATTGCTTAAAGCTTTGATATTTTGCATGAAGCGTTAACTTTTTCAACCTGTACCACCTTTGGTCATATCTTGACCCAAAGGCCAAATTGGCTTTATCCCAGGAACACATATTTTATATAGTGATATGAAGGATAAAACTTGAAAATCTTCTTCTACAGAACTACAAAACCTGGAGCTTTGGTAGTTTATATGAAGCACAGTCTAGTCTATCTTTTTGCCAAGTTTGTTCAAATCATGACATCTAAGTGAAGTCAAACATGCACAATTTTTAGCTTTACTTTTAAAATAGAGGTTTTGTTACAGTCTTTTCAGCGTTGCTGTCCGCAAACTTGTACATTGATCATAACATTTTAAGTTCTTGGTGTATTGTCTACAAGCTTGGCCACAACAACCCTTGGGACAAGACCTTTTAGTAGACCAGCCTAACCTTGACCTTCATTCATAATTGTCCTTCACCTTAAAGGTCAAATGTCTATCTTTTGCTTGTTAGATGTTGAGCCCCTTAGCGGTGAGCTTGACTTAGTCGCCACTTTTGGCGTCAAGGTCACACTTAAGGGTCAAAGGTCAAATAACAAAATTAAACATTCATTTTCAATTATAACTTCTACATACATGAAAGTATTTTAATATAACTTAGCAAAATTGGTCTCCATGTTAAGTTGAGTTGTCTTGCGCAAAATATAGGTCAAGGTCATTAGAGGTCAAAGGTCAAATAGGAGTATTAAATTTTGTTTGTTTGCACTCTATCTTGCTCATTCTTTGAAGGATTACAAATAATTTAGAACAAATGTTCACCATGATGGGGTGGTGTTTTGCACACAAAACCAAGGTCTGCTGCTCAAAGGTCAAGGTGACATTTTTTGGTCAGCAAAATCCAGTGTCTGGAGCATAGCTTCCACTTGTACAGGTTTCCCATGTTATCATGGAAAACTGGAAATATCTGAATTTGAAAAAAGGGGCTCCAAGCCTTGAAATGTCCGGGTTTTTAGTGTTTATACGTAATGAAGTCGATAAAGGTACAGGTTAACCTGTCTGGAGAAAAGAGGGGTAAATTGAACAATCAAAATGATGGTCTTAGCACAATATATTGATTTCCACATCTGGAATGTTGATGATTTTTTTCGATTTACAAGTGTTTTGGAAAGCCAATTTGACTTTTACCAGAGTTTACAAACTATGTGGATTGTGTTTAGAAAATCTTTTGAGAAAGTAACAAATCAACCTCAAGTTTGCTTGATTGGCCGGTGTTTAAAGGGCATGAAAAAAGATGAAAACTCACAGTCTTTTTGTTTCTTTGGCAGGAAATTTTATCCTGATTGCTCACAACCACGCTAAAAGCCATAAGTGAAACGATATAAACCAAACAATAGTTTAACATACATGATATATTGTCAAAGGCTTAGCACGGTCAATTGGTCACACCATGTTTTGTATTTGATTGTCAGATGGTTTAAAAAATTGTTAGATCTACTTAAATTTTATTTGTCATTGAACAATAAATAAGCAGAATGCCTAAAGAACATCCAAAACGGCAAAGTTGAAAAAGTTGCAGACTGAGGTTTGACTGAGCCTGTTCACATATTGTACTTGAAGGTGCACCCCCATAGCACAGGCTTAAGCAGAATTCAACATTTAAAAATGAAATTATGAATAAAGAAACAACTGCAGATGTGCTCATAGGTCATTTATCAAAGAACCTTTATTTTTGACATGTCTAGGCTATTCCATGAAGCCTTAGTGGACCCAGGTCAAATGTCAGGTGAGATAAATGTACTAAAAAAAACCCTGCAAAAACAGTAGCAGTCACAAAGTACATTTAGTGTAAAACTTGTATGCTGAAAAGGTGTATATTGTACTTAAATGTTGTTCTAAACATTGCCATGAACATATTCAAACGACAAAAGAAATCAAATAGCTTAAAATTTAATCTTCTAAAAATGTCCTTAAATTTTTTTTAAAAATGTCCTTGTTAAGTCCTGGAAAAGTCCTTAAATTTTGAAAATGTCAAACAGTGGGAACCTTGCATGCATGGAGGGATTTTACTATAATTCAGAACAAATGTTCTCCATAAAGAGACGGATTGTTGCGTAAAAAATCCATGTAACTTTTGTAAAGGTCAAGGTCAAACTAAGGAATCAAAGGTCAAATAACAAAATAAAACATTTATTTGCAACTACTGTATAACTTCTATATACATAGATGGATTTAAATATAACTAAGCACAAATGTTCTTCATGTTGAGTTGAGTTGTCTGAGGCAAAATGTATGTCAAGGTCACAAAAGGTCAAATAAACAAATTAAGAAAATTTGTTTGTTGGTGCTTTATTTTGCTTATGCTTTGAAGTATTATGCTTAGTGGTCTGAGGATTTTTAAAGTGTTGAGCCTGCTTCTGGTTAGGTCGACTTTCTGTACTTTCTCTTTGATGTCATTCATTCTGTAAGTTTTAATTTGGCTATTTTCTTTTATGTGACTAAAAAAACAATAGAGAGAACAATAGAGTATCCTCATTATTACTGTCCGTTTAGAACTTCCATCCCTCACATTTTCGAGTCCAGCCATATAATTATGTCATTTATCAAAGGAATTTGAAATAACTTGGCACAAATGTTTGTTATAATAAGATGATGTGTCATGCACAAAACTGGACCCCTACCTACAAGGTCATGGTCACACTTAAATGTTAACATTGTCTATTTAAGGGTGTATGCCATTACTGGTTCATAACTTTCTTATCTATGACGGGATTTTGAAAACACTGGGTACAAATGTTCACAATAATGAGACATTTTTTACCAGAAACCTACCTCCAAGGTCAAGGTCACAGTTGAAGGTCAAAGATTAATGTAGTCTGTTACAGGGTATATTTTGTGTCCGGTCCATAACTTCTTCATAGATCAAGTGATTCTAAAATTATTTTGTACAAATGTTCACAATAATAAGATGTGTCATGCACAAAAAAAAAGGAGCCTACCTTTAAGATCAAGGTCACAGTTAGAGGTCAAAGATTGACATAATCTGTTATAGGGCATATTTTGTTTCTCATCCGTCAAGGGATTTTGAACTTAATTGGCTCAGATCTTCACAATAATGGAACAATGTGTCATATTCAACAGGGTATTGTTTGTGTCAGGTATGTAACTTTTTCATCAATCAAATGATTTTAAAACAACATGGCACAAATGTTAACAATGATAAGATGACTTGTCATGTGCTACACCTAGGCCCCTACTTCAAATGTCAAGGTCACACTTGGAGATCAAAGCCTGAATAAACTGACTAACAGGGTATGATGCCAGGTCATGCCCATGCAAATAAATTGTCATTGGTGAATGGCCCACATACCTTGATTGATGACTTGACATGAATTATACCCTGTAACTGACCAAACCCTGTATTGATTTTATATTTGTCACATTTTGTGGCTTTGAAATAGTGATAACAACCATACAAATGTATTTCTGTTTACTCATACACAAGAGTTATTTCAATGTATTTCTTTAATGTATTTATTGTCCCCCGCCTTTTCGAAGAAAAAAGGGGGATATAGAAATAGGCTCCGTCCGTCTGTCCGTCTGTCCGTCCGTCCGTCCGTCTGTCCGTCCGTCACACTTTCGTGTCCGGTCCATAACTTTGTCATTTATGAAAGGAATTTGAAATAACTTGGCACAAATGTTTATTATAATAAGATGATGTGTCATGCGCAACAACCAGACCCCTACCTCCAGGGTCAAGGTCACACTTGCTCATTCAAGGTCAAAATTGCCTATTTGAGGGTATATGTCGTGTCCGGTCCATAACTTTCTTATCTATGAAGGGATTTTGTAAATACTTGCCATAATTGTTCACAATAATCAGACGATGTGTCATGCGCAAAAACCAGTCACCTACCTTCAAGGTCAAGGTCACACTTGGAGGTCAAATATTAACATAGTCTGTTACAGGGTATATTTCGTGTCCGGTCCATAACTTTCTTATCTATGAAGGGATTTTGTAAATACTTGCCATAATTGTTCACAATTATCAGACGATGTGTCATGCGGAAAAAGCAGTCACCTACCTTCAAGGTCAAGGTCACACTTGGAGGTCAAATATTAACATAGTCTGTTACAGGGTATATTTCGTGTCCGGTCCATAACTTTCTTATCTATGAAGGGTTTTTGTAAATACTTGCCATAATTGTTCATAATAATCAGATGATGTGTCATGCGCAAAAACCAGTTGCCTACCTTCAACGTCAAGGTCACACTTGGAGGTCAAATATTAACATAGTCTGTTACAGGGTATATTTCGTGTCCGGTCCATAACTTTGTCATTTATCAAAGGAATTTGAGATAACTTGGCACAAATGTTTGTTATAATAAGACGATGTGTCATGCGCAACAACCAGACCCGTACCTTCAGGGTCAAGGTCGTACTTGTTCATTCAAGGTCAACATTGTCTATTTGAGGGTATATGTCGTGTCCAGTCCATAACTTTCTTATCTATGAAGGACTTTTGTAAATACTTGCCATAATTGTTAACAATAATCAGATGATGTGTCATGCGCAAAAACCGGTCACCTTCCTCCAAGGTCAAGGTCACACTTGGAGGTCAAATACTTAAATAGTCTGTTACAGGGTATATTTTGTGTCAGGTCTATAATTTTTTCATAGATCAAAGGATTGTGAAAATACTTCGCACAAATAGTCACTATAATAAGAGGATGTGTCATGCGCAACACCTGCATCCCTACCTCCAAGGTCAAGGTCACACTTAGAGGTCAAAAATTAACATAGTCTGTT